AAACAAGCCATTCAGAAACCTAGATAGTTAGGGACAGATTGTCCAGTGACAATGATATATACCTTAATGCATTAGCAAATCAAAATGCACACAGCATGCATAGCAACTAGGTCAGTTGTTGGCTTTAATGCATTTGCATATGGATCTATAAAAGGACAGGACAGATTATCATATGAATGATCAATGCAAATTAAGCTGTCGTCAGCTTCGGTTTGATCTGATAATCATAGATTGTCTTTATCTCGCTTGGTCTGCGTCCCTACTCAACAGTCAGATAAATTTTGAACCCAGGCTAAGTATATTTGTCAGAGACAAAAGGCATGTTTTTAGTAGATTTTTATTTGCACAAATTTTTTTGTACAAAATCATATAAGAAACATACTATGAATATCCAATATACTTTCAAAAATAAAATACTTGAACACTTGTTCCATTCTGCATGCTCACATCTATAGAACATACAAAAATAAATTCCCTTTAAATACTTCAAGTAATGCTTGTTCAATAGCTTAGTGGCTCATCATGAGTCAGTACAGGCATGTGAACCATCACCCCCCCCCACCCCTTTGAGATGGATGCCTGTAGACAATAACTCCACGTGAGAAGCGGAGCCGTCAGCACAGCCGGAGGTGAATACAGTGGCGACAACACATCATGATCAGGTCAGATCATTGCAAAAGTCAGTAATGTAAACACGTGGACCTCTAGAACGGAGTCACATAAATGTACAAACACAAACGTTTATATACACACACACATTCTCACACACACACACACACACACAGTCTCCAGGCTCGTTCTGGTATCCAGAGTAAGTGGGTGAAGCGCGTTCCTCCAGGATTCAGTATTTGAGGATTACTCAGACAGAGGCACTGAGAGCTGGATGAAAAGTCTTAAGTAGGCCTGAGCTCTCTTTCAGCAGTTCCAGAGGTTTAAGAAGCACCGTTGCTGGACTAATTCGCCACAACACGGGAGCGCATCCAATCTAGACTGGCTGGTAAGCTGTAGAGGGAAGAGAAAGAGGTGGGTGCACATTAAATACACAGGCTTTCACTCAGATCAGGGACTTGGAAAGATTTTAAACAAGTCAAACACTCAGGTAAACATACACACTCCTAGAAAACACACATACCCTTCTCCAGTGAGTGCGCAGCAGGCCTGGATGTGCCAGGAGCGAGCATTGAGCGAGCTGAGAGTCAGACTCTGAGAGATCTCTGCAGCAGACATGCTGTTCTTCATGTCCTGCTTATTCGCCAAAACCAGCACGGATGCGTTCTGCAGATCCTGTGGGGGGGGACACACAAGGAGGAGAAGCAATGGAATTAAACCCTCAACATTAAAGAAGAATGTTTAAAAGAGTTAAGAATAGGGCTAGTTTCACTTGGGCTGGTCTAACCCAACCCTGAAAGCCCGATTCAATCATTTGTTTGCATATTTAAAAAGTCCCTAGATGACATTTTAATCACGTTAAAATGTTGTCAATAAAATATGTTTGTTGTTATATTGGTGAATATAAATGAGAAAAAAAAACAAAACAAAAAAAACAACAACATTCTTTCGTGTCCATTTAGTGAAAAAACAACAACATCATGGAAAACAAGCGTTATTTGCATGGTTTTATCACAATTTGAAAGTATTTTACTATCAAATAGGCTATGTTTCTCCTGATATAAATTATGGCTTCTAAGA